GTAGTTTGAGGATTAAATTTTTTAGGCTTTTTAAGATAAAAAAGGGGGGGTCGTATTATACATGAGATCGTATTATACACGAATAAATACGGTAATTATTCAATTGGCACTGAATGAACAACAACTTCAGATTCAACATGCTAAAAGTAGTATCCATGCTAATTCTGTAAACAAACAGCGAGCTGAATGAGACATCATTTCTTCTTCTACACATGCAGGTCATATCAGTGCCATGTAGAGTTCACACTGGAGTCTGATGGAGGTCATATTTAAAATGCAATGTAAACTTTCACACCAAAGAAATCTGATTAAAAAAAATCAGAATTGAGCATTAAGACCTGCCGTGTTAATGTAGCCATAGAAGTGACTGCAACAACTCAACAGAAATACTCTCTTCTCTCTGGCATCTCCCTTGAATTTGCAGATGCTATCATCTGAGCAACGTTTCCTTGTTTGCTAGTAGCCTGCTCAACTTTCCGTGCAACAACACTGTCATTATGCATTTGTGTCATCTCATGTTTGCCAAAAATTGCCCTTGGAGGTCTCCCAAGGCAGAATTATCCTAGGTGACAGGCCAGGCATGCACACATAACACACTTGCTGCTAGTTTATTCATTTCCTGCATTGTGTAGATACAATGGAGCAAACAACACACAGTGGCGCTGTGCTTTGAGATAACAGTATATCAGCTGTCACTCTGCTTAGATGCATAAGGTGATTTAGTTACCTGCCCTGGAAGCTCTCTAAGCAGAGGAGACCATTTGCAGCAAAACACAACCTACATCAAGCTTGTGAGGGGTACAGAAAAAGAGCCCTGTGTCTGTCTGCGTTGTCCTTTATGCAGAACAGAAGAAACCTGTGGAAGGAAGGTAGAGTCTTAGCTGTAACTGTGATGGTGGGTTGGGGTGGTTGCCAATGTAGGATGGGGATCTGTCCTTGTCATTGTTCATGTCTTTGCTCTTTTCAGGTGGTGATGCCTCACAGCAGAAAGGTTGTCGAGGTGGATGAGGTGGAGGATCTGTCCCAGCTTGAGTAAGCTCACCGATACACACATTCTACTGTATTCCTGTTGACTGTGCACAGACTCATGTGTCATCTGTCTGTAGAGAGGTCTCTGAGAGCTCTGTGCTTCTGAATCTGAAGAAGAGGTTCCAGCGAGACTGTATTTATGTAAGTATCACTACTTCCATCACCCTTTCAAACACATCTCATAGATAACTCTAGAATCTGGAGGGTCAGTACTTGCTTGGCAGATGAGAATGGAACTAAAGTTATTTGGTGAAAATCTAAAATAAAGCACAAACATTTTAAAAACCACCTAAACAGTGTTTGTCACACTTAATAACAAACACAGTCCTGATATGTCTCACTGACATGAAAGTTCAGCAGGAACCATGTCGTTTGGGCGTATTTTGATCCACATTTGGTTTGGACCAGTGCTAGGGATGTGAACAGACCCGGCTCCAGAGGAATTTAGTTGGGGGGGCTCTGGTTTATTTTGAGGGGGAGGAGGGCTTGTAAATAGTCAATTAATTTAATATAAATGCTTTAATGAGTAATTGTGGTCAGGTTAGCATAAACTTTAGCTCGTACATAGCAGAAATCTTGGAAACTACAGGGACTACAGATGAAAATTAGTCTCTATGGCTAATTCTGGCATTTTCTGTAACATGCACGGTCCCTTCTTAAATAAATAAATAAACAACAACAGGGACGTGCAGAGATAGACGTCAGGTGGTGCTTTCTCGCATTGTTCACTCTTGTCCCGACGCCGCGCAAGTTCAAACAAAGTCCGCATTCCACTGATCAAATTATAACAAGACAAAAAAAAGACCAAAAAAAAAAAAAAGAAAGGGAAACAATCGACAGAAGTTTTTTATTTGCTGCAATTCATTAGAAAATGCCTCCTTATTTCTCTCTCTGCCTTCTATGCAGGAGGAGGAGAGAAGAAAAAAAGTCATAATAAGGCAAAGACACAGCGGCTGCCAATCAAACAGCAGCAGCGTGTTCTGCACCGCCGACACTGTAAATATCTAAACACGTGAAAGAAAATAGGTTTTATTTATGCAGAATGTGATGTCAAAAATTCAGCAAAATAATAACTGGAAAATAGGTGATGAAAGTGAAAGATGATTCTCAGAGAGAAAATTGCCAAACTTTTTTCCTGAAGGAAAACACAGCGTGAAGCAACTGTCTGTAAGAGATTCACACAAGAAACTTACAGTTCAGAGAGCTGCCTGTCAGTCTGTGGACAGACAGAGAACAGATCAGATCATCTGACCTGATTATGGTTTTATTTTTTATCATGATAACATAAAAAAATAAACTTTAAATATTTTTAACCAAAGCATTTTTTGATAAGTTTTAAAATGTATTTAATAAAAATATGTACTTTTTTCCCTAAAAACCTTTAAAATACATTGTTGTGTAAAAACAGCCAAAGCAGAGAGGA